GAGGAGGAGGGGCCGAGTGAAAAAAACCCTCTCCAATATTTTGAATTTGGACTGCAATACCTAGTTCAACCACTCGGTGTCAATCCTACATACAGCACCTTTAAATGTTTATATTTGTAAATTGTGCTGTTGTTATTGCATTGCTATTGCACCGCATTGCTATTAAAAAATACAGTATATATTGCACAGTATGCAGTACGCTTATTCAATGCTGAACATTTGCATGAACATTTATGCATTTTGGCAAAGCTATTTGCATTGCATTCAAAGTATTTTTTTTTATGGGAAACGAACCCATGACCTTGATGTAGTTAGTGTCATTTATTTTATAAGCTACAGGAATAACAACACTGAGATGTGCAGTATAATAATAAATTAAGCAAAATTAAATTAAATAAAATGAATGAATGAATAAATAAAATAAAAACAAACTGATCTGCTTCTGTGTCAATATCTTGTAAAATAATATAATATTTTGTATTTTCAAAATGTATTTTAGCTCTAAAAACTTGATTGAATGAGCCAGATGTTTTTGATGGTGTTCTGCACATTCTAGGAAATACTGTATGTCATTCAGGTATTCCATGCGTACAGAACATTCACATACTGCGCACACCATACATACTGCAAAACGTACTATGACAGCATGCTATTCCAACCACAGCTGACTTCCACAAGGACTCAGATAATCCCTGTGCAGCGGAACGTCATTAGAAATGCCAGAACATGCAAAAGCAGCCCGTCCCTCACCATGAGTCAACACTGTCTCTCCTCAGCTGCCTCTAAGAATAGCAGCATATAGATTAAACTCCAGGACAGGTGAAGGTGACTTTTATGCTCCATTTCAGGCAACGGATTCATTAAGTGGCCGCACATCATGTGTGCTCTTAGTTTTACAGGGAACACATCAGTATTCCTTGTCTGAAAATACGAGCAAGGACGGCGAAGGGATGCAATGATTAAAGCTTCATCTTAAATGATCAATAAATCATCTGTCTGTCTGTTTTCACACTGACGATTTACATGCACCTTTATAATGGGATTAAAGCAGTGCTGTTAAACCAGAGCTCATGTAAACTGAATACTGTGATTATGTTAATGTGATTCAACTCGTAATTAGAGTAACAGTAATCACAGGGAAATCCAGACAGATGCACAGTAAGAAAACATGATGGAACAGAAACAGTACAGCTTTACATAACGAGCCATTGTGTTTTTTTATATGTGCATTTCAATAAAACAAAAGACACCAAGTGCACTAGAACCAGTGAACATTTACCATTTAAAACAAGCAAATAAAAGCAGCAGTTTAACTGTGTATTTGGTTGGGGTACAAAAGAAAAATGGTTGTTTGCTGCCACACTTCTTAGAAGTAGCATGTAAACTGGATTGAAGAGGTGTTCAAAATAGCATACTACCATATTTTTCTTACTCTTTCTGCAGTATATAATGCATAAAAACTACTTAACTTTTTTAATGCTATTGAAAGAAGCCTCTTCTGCTCACCAAGGC